GAGATTGATACTGTTGGAAGTATGAGCAATATGAAGGAAAAAAATTACCTTGCACACTTGATTGATCTCGCAATTCGTCCAATCAGGAGCGCTTGTTTCGAACGAAGTTACTTGATTTGTCTCTGGTAGTTTAACGTAACAGCTCAATATGCACCCGTAAAGTACCTGGTCCAATGATGAGTACAACACTGTGAGGCAATTACAGTGCTATTACACGAGACAACACAATACCATGCTAAACTGCGTCATTTTCCTCGAAGAGGAAACTGAGGCGTTTCACCATATGCTTTGGAAGTGCTATATTGCAATTTATACGAAAGATGATATAATATTTTCTGTATATGTGCATGAAAACGCTGTAAAATATTATGGATTGTAGACTGTGGGGAAAACCAACCGAAAATTCTGCTGCGCTTCACGAGTGTTAAAATCTATCGACATTACATACTACTTCCTCAGCAACGTATACACTTATTATGACAAGGAGTGCATTATAAGAATTCTACACATTGAAGCATTTGAAATAGAGAACGTTACAGCAATCGGGAAGCAAGCACAGTGAGTAGAAGATCAGGTGGTTCATGACTTTGGCAGTGATTTGTTGCATGATGTCTGAAACGTGCCATGATAAGTGCCCAACAATGAGAAGCTCTAAGAACCAAAGCACAGTAGGACAAATACAGACTAGGTACTGCAAAAAATTGCCAGGCCTGTGCAAAACACCTGCAGAAAGTGAAGGCTTGTACAGTGGCCTTTCAGAGCCTATTGTTTGCATGTTTTGAGAACAACCTCGCATGCTATGATGTGAATGACTTGGTGATTTATGCCATCTACTGTGCCATCAATCATCGGTAATTACTTTAAGTAAAGCCGCACCCACTACGCCAAATTTGGCAATTCTGCAGCGGCGCTTTGCAACCACTACACATCTATAAGGTACTATGTGTGCTTTCTTTGTGCTGTGGCAGATGACGACGAAGAGGTATTGCTGAACCGTATGTAATTCCTTGGAAGGGCTTAAGTTCCGTGCACCGGCCTCATGTGCGATGTCTGTTTGGCATTTTCTCAGTCAGAAAACTGTTGTGGAAGTCAGAAAGACTGCTTCTGATGTGATTGTTGTCCGCTACCACTGCTGCCTGTGTCTGTAACCACTTTGGCACGAAACAAAAAACTAAATAAATAAAATACCTATTAAAATCAAATTTGAACCCACGTTGCCTGGTGACAGTCAACAGTTCTGAGACTTCGCTACACTGGTTATTTGTAAAGATAGTAATTGTTGAATGCGTAATAAAACAGTACACAGTACCGCACAAAGTTCCGCTCTTGCAGTTTCATAAGGACAATCGGCGTACAGGCCTTGATGCGGAAAAAATCTAAGGCTAATCTCCTTTATTCCAGGAAGACTTCCCTTCATAATGTGCTACGCAAGAAAATTGCCAAGGATAAGCACCCTACCAAGATGAGGTAGCAGTCCGGATTCCGATATTAGACTGATTTAGCGTAGCGCTTGAAACTTTGTTGCAGACTTACCCTATATATGCAGCCTACATGTGTGAAAGACAGTGCTGCTTGTAGTCATTGTGGCAGCGATGAAACTATAGAGCACGTTCTCTGTCATTGCCCTCGGTACAGCGTGCAAAGACGGCAACTAGCTGCTGCGTTAGCTCGCCTTGACGACAGACCTTTGTCTGAACAATCAGTGCTGGAAACGCGACATGATCTGTGCGCTCACAGACAATCAATGAAGGCCTTACTGAACTTTTTGCGTAACAGTGGCTTGTTTTAAAAAATGTAGCACCCCAGCCCCCCCTCCTTTTTTTTTGCGAGGGTCTATTTCCCTCTTCGCTTTCTTTCCCATCTTTCTCCCCATTCCCCCTTTCCCCTAGTGCAGGGTAGCAAACCGGATGCTCCATTTTCTGGTTAACCTCCCTGCCTTTCTCTCATTTTATTTTCTGTCTCTCTCTCTCTCTCTCTCCTCTCTGGCAGGCTTCTTTTAGCACCTTCTTGCGTGCACACCGGAACCCCAGAAATATTGCAATGTGTCACTTTTAGTTGCTGCGGACACACAGAGCGATCATACACGACAAAAATATTTAACTTGTAGTGGCCGTGCTCGGTGCGCGCCGCTTTGTCGCCATCGTTCCAGACGTTCCGTGACAATTGAAATCAGACAAACATCGACAAGACGCAGTTTGTACCCTAGGATGTTACTGAAGCTTTGCATTATGTACTTTTCAGGCAGCTGCGAGTCATTTCAGCATACTTGTGATGTCATGTGTTCAAGCTGAGTGTGCGTGCTTCTGACAGTCTTGTTTTTTTTCTGCTGTATCATTTATTTTACATGTCATTTGATTTCACCCTGCATGAAGTATCCCGTACAGCTACAGAATCGAATAACAGTTTATTCGATTTGTTATTAAAAATTTTCGAATACTCTCACACTGGTACAAATATCTAATGAAAACACTGCGAATCACAGGAAAAAAGAAAGAGACAAGGAATCACAACGTATTAAACTGAAAAATACCGAGTAAAGAACCACAATTGCGAAGCTCTCCGAGATTACATTTTGTGGAACTTTTGTTAGTTTTTGTGTTACAAATTGCGCCCACTTCTTTTTGCTCGCCTAGGTCGGCATGCCGGTATTCAGTGTATAAGCAGTGCTGGGCAGGATGCCCTGCTTCTCAGCAAGAAGATTTTGCTCCGAGCTCTCTTTACGGCGTTCATGAGAGGAAGCAAATTTGGAGTGTCAGAAAGCACAGTTGATGAAAGAGGGCCTCAAGAACTCACATGACGTCATAAACACGTGCGGTATTTGCAACGTTTTTCAGAGAAATTCCACGTGCCAACGCATCGGCATTGCTACTCGGTCGACACTTCAACAGTGCAGCAATAAGACCACCTTAATTTTCACGTTGTCTTCATGCCAACTGAAAACCGCACCTCCCGCAAACGTGCTCGAAATCAAAATTTCAGCACTCGATACGGGTGCCTTGTTCACGATGAATGAATGCATGTTGGTCTTTAATATATATGTGTCGAAAGACTCAACGCGCTTGCGTATACCACTGTTAAAGCGATGCATTTTGATATTTCGTATGCATTCGTTCACACAGCCGTAGTGGTCACCGAAAATTTGATTCTGTTTTTTTTTTGAGCTTCATAAGTGTGCCTATTGCCTTGAAGACATGAAGTAGGTATGACAGCACTTTGCAACATATAAGATGAATTATGGTGTAGTGGTAATAAACAACTGTACAGTGCTCAGAAATTACAACAGGTCAAATCAGGGCTCATCATTGGGCATGTTTTTGTTGCCAGCATACAGAGATTGCCATATCGACACAACTGTAGCTTGAGCACTTCTATTAACGCAACATTTTTAGCAGCCTTACTTGCAGTGATACGACATTGATATGAGAAATTTCTTGTGGCATGTAGCATGCAGGTATAGTTAAAAAACGTTGTCATGTTGCGATTTTGACTAATACACATACAGCAACATCCCAGTGCCGTTTAAACAGATTCCATAAAAGGAAACTCACAAGATTACTCACAGTGCAGTATGTTCGGCACAGGCAGCTGCCTCTATTTTTGTAAACTCGAGTGCTTCGATTTGTCGCCCTACTATTTCTGAATCAATGTGAAAGGAAGTTTTCGAAACACATATTTCATCATGCTTCATTATTTTTATTGAGCAAGACAGTCTAATGACTACTGCAGCAGTCAAAAGAGTAAGATATTTGTTCTAAACGCATAATCCTGCGATGCATACCTAAAAGAAAAAAGAGAAAGCAACAAAAGTATCATAACTGGTCGCAACCTATAACAAGCGTTGGGCCTTGCGCTTTTTGTTTTTGAGTCTATACAGGTAAAAAAAAAGAAAAGCAACATCACTGAGCGTCGTATTTGCCTGCACAGTCTGCATTGAAGTTCGGTTGAGCAAGATGTCTTCAGCAAGCGCGTCCCACAATGGCGAAGTACTGCTTATCGTTGTACTAAAAGACACGAGTCCACCTAACTGGGTTGCATAGTAGTAAACTAGTAACCAGCGGCACAACGACTTCTTATTTAATAGTTAAATTGGCGTGTATGAGAGAAGCCCATTTGTTCGGGAGGAAATAATTTACCAGGAGTGATCCGAACACCTATCAACTTGATTTTAAAAGTAATGGTATTAACGTTTCGGTCCTCGCGCTGGAGCCTTAATTGGTCGAAATTCGGAATATTGCTCCTGTTTGTGAACACAGTTTTAGATTTCCGAACATGGCTCCTCGGCGCGAACCGCAACATTGACACACGTTCATTGCAATTCTTTTGGTTAACGTTCGGACATGTTCTCTAAGACAATAATGGCAACTGTAATTCTCGCCACCTTCGCCGTGGTACACAGGAACTGGTTTAAAGATATCGAGACACCCCAATGTATGCCAGCCGTAGGCATCGCTGCATGGTCAAAAGTGCATAAAACACAAAGAATAATTTCGGGGGATATTGTTAAAATAAATGCATTGATTGGGAAGAAAAATAGGGATGAGAGAAAGGTCATGTTATCGTATTCGTGTCCTCTTAGGTGAATTTACCAGGTACCATGGGATTGTTACTTTCTTACATTGTAGCCTTCTCGAAAATGCGCTACTTTTTGTAGAGGCTTGACGAGAAGTTACTCTCTTTGTTGAGCTGTCACTGTCTTGGTAGTTTGAGGGACTAGGCATGTATCACTTTTGGTTCTCCTTCGTAGCGGCACCAACGAAGATATCAGCTTTTACTGTGTCACTTGTATTGTATAACTGTGTCACTTGTATTTCAACGTTTACAGCATAAGTGATTCCGCGCAGAAATGCATACACTCATAATTCACGCAACTGTATAGAAGGAAGCCACCTTTAAGTAGTAATGTACACAAAAGGCGTACTTAAAAAGAAAAGGTTGTGCAAAATGAAAGACACGTGTTCAAGGAAAGCCACGGAAACAAGTGCAACTCACACTGCTCATTCACGAGCAGACGGCAGAAAAGTTCAAAAAGCATCTTTTTCCCGCTGAACTTTTCACGTTATTGTATCTGTAGCACAGTAGGCTCAGAACGACTTCTATGGAGGTATATTTTACTTCATGTTTTTCAATGCTCACAAATATAAATGAGTTATATGAGTCCTAATGTTCCAGACTCTTGGCTTCAGGCGTGTAGAAATGTTTGTGTGAGTAAAAAAAATGTGATTTTTACTTTTTGCCCTTGTATGATGTAGAAAGCGCATGCACTAGAAATCAGTTTACTGTGAGATTGATACTGTTGGAAGTATGAGCAATATGAAGGAAAAAAATTACCTTGCACACTTGATTGATCTCGCAATTCGTCCAATCAGGAGCGCTTGTTTCGAACGAAGTTACTTGATTTGTCTCTGGTAGTTTAACGTAACAGCTCAATATGCACCCGTAAAGTACCTGGTCCAATGATGAGTACAACACTGTGAGGCAATTACAGTGCTATTACACGAGACAACACAATACCATGCTAAACTGCGTCATTTTCCTCGAAGAGGAAACTGAGGCGTTTCACCATATGCTTTGGAAGTGCTATATTGCAATTTATACGAAAGATGATATAATATTTTCTGTATATGTGCATGAAAACGCTGTAAAATATTATGGAGTGTAGACTGTGGGGAAAACCACCGAAAATTCTGCTGCGCTTCACGAGTGTTAAAATCTATCGACATTACATACTACTTCCTCAGCAACGTATACACTTATTATGACAAGGAGTGCATTATAAGAATTCTACACATTGAAGCATTTGAAATAGAGAACGTTACAGCAATCGGGAAGCAAGCACAGTGAGTAGAAGATCAGGTGGTTCATGACTTTGGCAGTGATTTGTTGCATGATGTCTGAAACGTGCCATGATAAGTGCCCAACAATGAGAAGCTCTAAGAACCAAAGCACAGTAGGACAAATACAGACTAGGTACTGCAAAAAATTGCCAGGCCTGTGCAAAACACCTGCAGAAAGAGTGAAGGCTTGTACAGTGGCCTTTCCAGAGCCTATTGTTTGCATGTTTTTGAGAACAACCTCGCATGCTATGATGTGAATGACTTGGTGATTTATGCCATCTACTGTGCCATCAATCATCGGTAATTACTTTAAGTAAAGCCGCACCCACTACGCCAAATTTGGCAATTCTGCAGCGGCGCTTTGCAACCACTACACATCTATAAGGTACTATGTGTGCTTTCTTTGTGCTGTGGCAGATGACGACGAAGAGGTATTGCTGAACCGTATGTAATTCCTTGGAAGGGCTTAAGTTCCGTGCACCGGCCTCATTGTGCGATGTCTGTTTGGCATTTTCTCAGTCAGAAAACTGTTGTGGAAGTCAGAAAGACTGCTTCTGATGTGATTGTTGTCCGCTACCACTGCTGCCTGTGTCTGTAACCACTTTGGCACGAAACAAAAAAACTAAATAAATAAAAATACCTATTATAAAATCAAATTTGAACCCACGTTGCCTGGTGACAGTCAACAGTTCTGAGACTTCGCTACACTGGTTATTTGTAAAGATAGTAATTGTTAGAATGCGTAATAAAACAGTACACAGTACCGCACAAAGTTCCGCTCTTGCAGTTTCATAAGGACAATCGGCGTACAGGCCTTGATGCGGAAAAAATCTAAGGCTAATCTCCTTTATTCCAGGAAGACTTCCCTTCATAATGTACTACGCAAGAAAAGTGCCAAGGATAAGCACCCTACCAAGATGAGGTAGCAGTCCGGATTCCGATATTAGACTGATTTAGCGTAGCGCTTGAAACTTTGTTGCAGACTTACCCTATATGCAGCCTACATGTGTGAAAGACAGTGCTGCTGTAGTCATTGTGGCAGCGATGAAACTATAGAGCACGTTCTTCTGTCATTGCCCTCGGTACAGCGTGCAAAGACGGCAACTAGCTGCTGCGTGTAGCTCGCCGTGACGACAGACCTTGTCTGAACAATCAGTGCTGGAACGCGACATGATCTGTGCGCTCACAGACAATTCAATGAAGGCCTTACTGAACTTTTTGCGTAACAGTGGCTTGTTTTAAAAAATGTAGCACCCCAGTCCCCCCCTCCTTTTTTTTGCGAGGGTCTATTTCCCTCTGCGCTTCTTTCCCATCTTTCTCCCATTCCCCCTTTCCCCTAGTGCAGCGGTAGCAAACCGGATGCTCCATTTTCTGGTTACACCTCCCTGCCTTTCTCTCATTTTATTTTCTGTCTCTCTCTCTCTCTCTCCTCTCTGGCAGGCTTCTTTTAGCACCTTCTTTGCGTGCACACCGGAACCCCAGAATATTGCAATGTGTCACTTTTAGTTGCTGCGGACACACAGAGCGATCATATCACGACAAAAATATTTAACTGTAGTGGCCGTGCTCGGTGCGCGCCGCTTTGTCGCCATCGTTCCAGACGTTCCGGACCAGTGTCAGAGCAGGAATCAAACTCAAGAATACTGCGTGCAATGAAGTATTTTTCTCTGAGCGACGGAAGGGCTCGAAAACATTTGTAAAACGACTTGACAATATGCATGGTCATGGTTGGTTGCAGTGCTGGCTATCCAAATTTATAACATGTACCCCTATAATACATCCGTCACATCGTCCTAACATTGGTTGTATTGAGTTTCATTTTACTTAAGTTCAGTTATGTAGCACTGTCCTGGGCTACGAGTCTCGCAAGCCCAAGCGCTATATGTCGGATGAGCACTTACTGCGATGCGTTGCCCGAGATGATGCATTAAATATTCTTTTATCCGTGGTGTGTATAGAACGCGATGGTTATGTGGTACAAATATCTGACTGGTGTGGAGAGGTTGCTGATGGAAATCCAATATCTCAATGACATTTTCGTTTCATTTCATTTATTCCTGTTCTATGCGATAGCGGAGTTAGATATCGGTGGTGGTAGTGGTGGAGGCCAACTACGGTATTGTAATTAGCTACTGCGTAGATTTCGCAAACAGTTTTCGTTGCAGATAAAGCATGTTTATTTATTTAAAGGTAAACAAAACTATTTGGTACATCTCTGTCCCCGTTGCTGTGTGTGGACTGTCCCGTTGCTGTGCTTGACTAATGCGCTTTTCTGGTCGCGCCACCCCGCCCTGCTTTTGTGACAGGGGATGGTCGCCCCCTCTGTAGCTGACCGAAGAACGGGGACGCAAAGTTGTCCCATAACCTTGACAATAGTGAGGTGTGCGCTGCGACAGAATTTCCTCCCCCCCCCCCTTTAAAGGGGAACCTGGCGCCCGGTTATGGTTATGTTTCGTCGCTGTCAAACATGGCACAAAAGTCCTGAAGGTGCTCTTGTTGGTAACAGGTTTCTCGATAAAATGACGAACAGAACCACAGTGGATGATCTCCTACATCATCGCAAAGGTGTATATTCTTAAGGCGTTGTTATGTGTATTTTCATTAGTTGTATTAGTAGTCTGTAACGGGCTTTATAAAGGCCACTCTTCCAGCTACCACTGTTAAACAGCAAGGTGTACTCCGTAGGCCTTACACATTAAGGGCGGAAACCTTTAAAGGCTCATACTCGCGTGCTCGACTGTCCATCTGTCTATCCCCTGGAACGGTGCCAGCTGTCGACTGTCCCCTCCGGTATTTTATCAATAACCTAATGGAACCATGGCGTATAGTAACAGTTGGTCGTCACAGGTATGGTCTTTCTCCTCGTACTCCTCGGTAATCACTTGAATGACACTGCCATGGGTTCGAACGTACCCGTTCATGCCCCCATACACTTTTTCAGCGATCACGTGATGGCACAGCAGCGCACGTGGCAACCGCTCCTTCGTCAGACGTCTCGTTGCAGCAAGTCAAGTTAGTCGGATTGGCGCACAGTAAGGGGACACAGAGGTCGCCCAGCTAGGCATAATAAATTCATGGAGCTCTAAAGCAAGATTGCGAGGAATTGGTGAATGATCAATCCATTGTTCACTTCGAACCATACTTTGTAATCTACGGTCGCAAAATTTGAAGGAAACTACTAAATTCCAACGTGTGTTCGGCAAAAACTTGTGCCAATTCCACTGGGAGTGTCATGCGCACACACAAAAAAGAACAAACAAAACGATGGCTTAGCCTGTAAATGGGCAAAAGCTTTCGCCGAAGACACTTCGGAAATTACAAAATGTTATCGATTGTCTCTTCGAATATGCCAAGGTTTGTTAATTAACAATGGTTGCCTAAGGGAACTTTTTTATTTAGTAAGCCATCAGGAAAACGTGCAAGGCAACGTTGCAGCATATTTCTGAAACTTTGGCATATTTAGCTTTTATAAGTGATTACCAGTCCGTTAGGCTGAGTAACCAAGAAAGCATGCTTAATCTTAGTTTTTCAGTAGCAAGTTGAACACAAATAATATTGCTACGTGCCAGTGCATGGAGCTGAAGAAGACGAAGGAGATAGACTGGCACGAGATAATCTGTGTGGCTGGCGCTGCTCGCCTAACCGGCTGAAAATACATCGGTGACTACCCCTCTGAGTCAGTCTCCTTCACGTAACATATTTGGTGGAGTTGTGCGATCCCCGTCCTCGCCACGGAACTCCGAAGCGGACGCTTCCTCGCGGCTTACAACATGACGACCCAAAGACTCGGCTACATCCTCTCCGGTCGCTCCCCCTTCTGCCCAACCTGTCAACCCAGCGCCCGCAACAACTTTCGTGACGCTTCCCGCGCTCTAAGACCCCTGCGTGTTCTCGGGCAGCGAGGGTTCCGACGTCGACCAGTGGCTACGCCTCTACGAACGCGTCAGCGCCACTTGCAGGTGAGATCCCACTCTTATGCTCGCAAACGTCATCTTTTACCTCGACGGAACCCCTCGTGTTTGATTTGATAACCACGAGCATGGCATAACAAGCTGGGACAGCTTCAAGGCACAGATCCGTGAACTTTTGGCAACATCTCTGGTCCTCGTGAAGCTGCGAAAAATGAGTTGTCGACTCGCGCACAATCTTCCATGGAGCCCTACATCGGTTATATTCAGGCTGTTTTTTCACTATGCCGCCAAGCTGACGAAAATATGTCTGAACCTGAAAAAGTTGCGCATATCCGAAAGGGTATCGCCGACGATGCGTTCAACTTGTTGGTATTCAACAATGTGTCATCTGTTAATGCGATCATTCAAAAATGCCGCCGGTTCCAACAAGCCAAAAGCAGACGCATGTCCCATCAGTTCCAGCGCCTCCCGAACACCACTGCGACGTCCTCGTGTCTCGACACATATCATCCACCAGACACCTGTGACAACTTGACGCGAATCGTCAGGCGGGAGCTTGAAGGGGCTGCTCCAGCTAAGGTGGGATCAACGTCCCCCGACCCCTCTCCGCCAATTACGTTGCCTCTCATTCAAGCAGTCGTCTGGCAGGAAATCGCCAGCTTGGGAATTCACTCTATTTCACCGCCTACCTACCCGCACCGACTACCAGCCCCGATACACGCCTGCACGTCCCTTCCCGACCGGCCCTCCCTCAACGTTCCGTAATCCGTCCGCATGGCGAACACACGATGACAAGCCGACATGCTTCTCGTGTCACAGAATCGGGCACATTTCTCGCCATTGCAGAAGTCGCTGGGGTCCTCCTGCACAACCGTCCTCTCGTCCCTTCTATGCACGTCCTGCCTATCGCCATGAGACCAGCCGCGACCATTTTGCCCAAGAACCTGCTTCTGAACAACGCTACTCCCGCTCTCCATCCCCCAACGTCGCCAGTCTCGTTCTTCACAGCCCCGCCGCCCATCTTCCGCCGCCTTCCCACGAGGTTCCCCGACGGAAAACTAAGCGTTGCAGCCCCCGGAGGTGGCGCTGCATCGCTCGGACTGACCAAAAATCCTCTTTTGACGATACCGACAAAACGGAACCATTTTACCGTGTTGAGTTGGACTTGCTTGGTCCTTTTCCCACATCAACATTGGGAAACAAATAGATAGCCGTTATTACAGACTACGCTACACGCTACGCTATTACGCGAGCTCTACCGACCAGCTGTGCAACCGACGTCGCTGACTTCTTGTTACGGGACGTTAAATTGATTCACGGTGCTCCGAGACAGCTTCTTACAGACCATGGCCGTACATTTCTATCCCAAGTCATCGCCGACATTCTGCGTTCTTGTTCCACACAACACACTGACAACCGCTTACCACCCTCAAACAAACGGCCTCACGGAACGATTTAACCGCACTTTAATAAATATGCTCGCTATGTACGTGTCGCCCGACCACCGAGACTGGGACCTTGCCTTACCCTACGCAACTTTCGCGTATAATTCATCTCGTCACGACACAGCGGGCTTTTCGCCGTTCTACTTATTGTACGGAAGAGAGCCGACTTTACCACTGGACACAGTCATCTCAGCTCACACCTCGTCCACCACCGAGCATGCCCGCGACGCGATTGCGCGAGCCGATCATGCCCGTCAGCTCGCTCGCGCTCGGCTGATGGCGTCGCAAACCAACCAATGCCGTCGGTACGATGCGGAACATAGAGACGTACATTTTGCTCCCGGTACCCTCGTTTTACTCTGGTCCCCTCATCGTCGGCTGGGCCTATCCGAAAAACTTCTGTCTCATTACACGGGACCCTACCGTATATTTCGTCAAGTAACACCTGCCACTTACGAGATCAGCCCCATCTGTCCATCATCCTATGCGGCCCAGTGATATCGTACACGTCTCGCGGATCAAGCCCTACAATAATGCGTCAGATAACGACCTTTAAAGCACCGGGACGGTGCCTCCGCCGCCGGGGGTCTTGCTACGTGCCAGTGCATGGAGCTAAAGAAGACGAAGGAGATAGACTGGCGCGAGCTAATCTGTGTGGCTGGCGCTGCTCGCCTAACCGGCTGAAAATACATTGGTGACTACCCCTTTGAGTCAGTCTCCTTCCCGTAACAATATATACAAAAGGTTTAGCGTTTGTTCTGCAACATCGGATTACTTCATTATGCCAACGTAGCACCCCTTTTTGTTTCATCCTGGCTTTTTTTAAAATGCATGAAACTTTATGATACACCTAGCGCAGATTATTCAAACAGCTGTATATTTGACGTGAATACACACCTTGTGTGTCGATTGATGAGGATTTATCTGTTATGAAAATGCAGGCAACATTTTATATGCATACAATAAGCAGTTGGCCTGATGACGCAGTTTGCGTGGCTTCAAGTATTTCGCTCCTTAGGCAATTGTTGCCATAGTTGTAATTAGTGGTAAGTGAAAAATATGGTTTGCAACCACTTTATAGCTTCTTCGGCACTTCGTTTTATTTGACAAAAAAAAGAGAGCCAGAATACTTAGCTCAAGGACAGAGAATCATTCTTACAAGAGCCACGTGTGCATAAAATAAAAAGACAGTCTGTATTTTGAGGAACCCGTGTGTTGCAGCCTCCACCATCATTGTTGCCTTCCTTGGTAATTTTTACTTTAATTATTCCCCCAATCATTCTCAAAGTTCAAATATGACATTCTCATGTTTCAGATTCGTTAATTTAAATACGACATTCTCATGTTTTAGATTCCTTCATTAGACTGTGTTGAGGCTTCCAGCGAATTTGCCAAAAAGTTTGTATAGGGAAAAATAACGGTCTACCATCTTCTGGATACTGGTTGTGACACCATCTTCACAGCCGTAATTCATGTATTACAAGACTTCCGTGTTGTTTAATAAAACAGTTTCTGTAATTACCCCCGTTAACATCAGGCAACGGGGCAGGAACCTGGTGGATTACAAAGAGCGTTAAACATAACCTAATGGTGAAGCAGCGAGCAATGGAAAGGAAAATGATAGGTGTAACCTTAAGGGTGAAGAAGAGAGCAGAGTGTGTCAGGGAACGAATGGAGATTAGGCACATCATAGTCCAAATCAAGAAAAAGAAATGGTGATGGGCAGGACACGTAGTGCGAAAGCAAGATAACTGCTGGTCATTAAGGATCACAAACTGGATTTCAACAGAAGGCAAGTGGGTGAGGGAGAGACAAAAATTTAGGTGGGCAGATAAGATTAAGAAGTTTGCGGGTAAAGTGGCAGCAGCTAGCAAAATACCGCGTTGACTGGCGGAACATGGGAGAGGCCTTTGTCTTGCAGTGGGTATAGTCAGCCGGATGATGATGAGGATGATGATATCAGGCAAATTGTCAAAAGCATTTAATTGGGGCCTTAGCATGGATGCATAGTGTGCTGCAGTGGTGAATGTGCTGGACGTCGATTTCCCGATACAGTGTCGGAAAGCTATTTGGTTATGTTGTGCGGCCGCTCATCGCATTCTATACCAGGAGGGCGTTGGCAGTAAAACCGCGTTATCGCATCTGGTGGTACGGGCAGAGGCGGATAGGCATCGCTGGCTTCTTCGCAGTTGCTGCACAGCAAGAGGTTTCGAGGTACAGCAAAATCGTTTCATAAAGAAGGCATTTGTCATTGAAATGCAATAAATGTCCCTACGACAACACTAAAACGAAGTATAGCAAGCGAGATCACGTCTTGCAGTTTTGTGTGACTGGCATGGCGAACACAAGTTAGTCTTGCGTTCACTATTAAACCAAAATGTCTGTGTTTTTAAGGCAGGTAAAGGCTCTCTGAGACACTCGAAATCTATGCGGCTGCTAGTCTTGTTTTAAAAACCAACCGTATGCTAACACTTTGTCCTTGCCAGGAAGAACGCAATTCGCAAGCTGGATTCCGCGTGACTCGAGTGGCGCCTGTAAGTCACCATAAACCTAAAAATGCATAACTGGCAGAACACACCAAAGTATTTGATTATAGCAGTGAACAAGTTTCAAGAAGGAGCTTTTCGAAGTAGCACGAGGAAGCAGCTGATGAAGAGTGCTACTAAGCAAAAACAAAAAAGCTACTCAGCTTTCCAGACCAAGCATAGTCAGCTTCGGCGTCTTGTACAAAACAACGCCCTCCTAAGGTACTGTTCTAGAATACCTTTGATCAGGCTGTTATATATATCGGATGCACTTCCTACCTTTCTTTTTCATTGTACCAGGGCCGATAGATCGCCAACAAATCATGAGCCTCAAACGATTGTATGCAAATTTTGGTCACCAAGGTGAAGCTGTGAAGCTAGGAAACGACTGATTTCCACTGTGTGTGCTAATACTTTCTGACGGTACGCAATCCAGTTCCGGGTCCGAAACTAAGGTCTGCACTCTCGCTAAGTGATCAGTCATATAATGTAAATCAGCAATTGAAAGCTGTCGTGCGTGCTTTTTCAAACGCTGGTATCGTCACATCATGCTAGTTTCACAATGTTACAAACTGAGCACGTAGCAGCTTGTACGCCCGTGAAGCCATCTAAAGCATACAAAATGAAAAGGGGAATATCAAAACAAGGATGCTGACTGAAAAAAAAAAAACAATCAATATTTGAAAACCAGAGAATTCACAATAATACTTTTTCTTACTTCCACTATAGCATACGCCATATTAACACGAGTGCATTTAATTTGTTTACCTTATTAAATGAATGCTAAAAAATTATTCTTACCGTAGCATTCAAGAACACTTCGGTTTTGTTCATGTGTTTCAAGCACTGATTATCTCTTCTTTTCTGTTGCTCTTGCTTTGATATGGCAGCGCTTGGGCATCTACGGCTGAACAAACAACAGTTTTCGTCGCCTGTGTAGAATTAGGTGCAAATGAACTTTCCATTTTTCTTAAATATTACGCTCCCCAAGTCTGGTAAAAAATCTAGACTTCTACATTGAATCAGTATAGATGATGTGTGGTGAATTCTTTTTAGAAAAAAAAAAAACTCCTCGAAGAGGTGTCTACATGTATGTGTTCCAAGCAGGAGACCGATTTGTAGGCCTTGGCGGTATTGTGGCAGAAAAGAATTCTGATAAGACAAACTCGAAATAACCATTCGATCAATACTGTATAGTCCCGAAACATTATTGACTTTCCTTAACACTAACTCGGTCCACTACTGCTTCAAAGCAAAAGAGGTAAAATAAACTCATTATTACCCCTTATTTTGATTGATTAAAACTTTATTTAGTTTTAATCAAACAAAATGAGGTTCAATGATTTAAAAAATAAAGTTTTATTCAATCAATCGATCAAGCATTCTTTCTCCTACTTTATTATCTTTCAAAAAATACGGAAATAAAGCAATAAGCAGAGGGGACAAGCGAAATCGTTTTGCGAGCCAAACACGAATAAATTGTTGCTAACCATTCCAAGTCACAGCTACGTGAGGCACCACCTTACTATTATTTCCTCTTCTATAGCTATAAGCAGTCGATCCAACTGTGTATGACACCACCACTCTACCCCTCCTTATTTCTTTACTATACTTTACCACTTATTGTTCGCATAACAAATGTTATGAGAAAACTTACGACAAGAATGTTGCGATGTCTTTCTTGCTGCATATAGAAAATGTCAACATTCGGTTGAAACCCAAGGATGGAGCCATTAGGTGCCGCTCACTTGCTGAACAATGCTTCGATGTATCGACCCCGTCGTGAACAGCACCTAGACTAATAGAAAAATTATTTTATAGGCTAATCTCTATTTCTCTGTAGAATGAATTCGTTTTATGAGAGCCACTAATGAAGTAGGGTAGTTGGTTTCTGGAACTGGCACAATTTGGATCGCATGTAGCTACTAGTGCGAAGGTTTAAAGCAAAAAAAAATTTGTCCGCTTTCCGGTAGTGAGGCTTAAGTTAAGAATGTTTCATTACAGTCATAGTCATGGAAGAACAAAGTGCCTAAATATTGTAGTAATGAAAGTTCGAACAGCTTTTCTGGTATTTTGTACAAAAAATTGTCATGATCATCATGTACTTTTTTTTCCTTTGATCACTTGCGTTGTGCTTGCTTGACCTGTGCTACCTGTTGTTCTTTCACGGCTTCTACTTCTAATACTATTACTACTGCTGCTAATAATAAATAACGAATATATTTTCGTTTTAAATGTATTATTATAAATACCACAACATCGAAAGCTGAAGAGAAATAGGAGAAATAGAAAACCGTCCGGCAGTGGTGTCACTAGTGGTGCTCATTGTCTGTGTTATCAGTTACGTCGTTCACAGCGTCCTATTCAAGCACGCGCGCCATTGGCTGTGTTATAAATGACGTCGTCCATTCTGTCGTGACGCCGAACCAGCGCACATTAGTCTCTCCCGAAACATTTCACATGGGTATGCTACTGACAACTCTAGAAGAGCGCCCAAACGTGAGAGAACTTGCATTCACTGGCACGATGGTGCCCTCCGAGCATAAAAACAGGCCCGGAAGGCCGACTGCCGGCAAAAACTGCGTATCGATGTTCTGGCAGCCTTCCAAGCTACTTAAATCGTGAACGGGAATGCTATCGCAGGTGGCTGGCTTATCCTGCAAATCCCGTCACCAAATTAACTCAGGATATGAACGTTCGCAATAACGTGGCGTTGTGGCGTCAACGTGAGGATTGCAGGAGCAAGTTCCCTGGGTGAACACCCTCTTTCGGCGGGAGTTTTTACCGTGCTAAACTATAGCTTTGGCTGCGACGTAGGTGGCCACCTGTGGTTCGAGAACAAACCACTGTGATCCACGCATTGTAAAATGCATATAACTGCGCATTACACTCCTTTATGATCGTTATCATGGAAGGCACAAGGTGCGGCATGTAAAAAATAAACACTGTGGTAAACCCCAGCGAAACGTGTGTCTAACCACATTTAGGAAGCACAAGCATGTAACCAACAATTTCGGAAGGTGGCAGCGTCACGTCGAGGTGAGCCCACGGCTCAACACCAGGGCCGCACGTTTCAGCTTTCGCTGGTTAACCATTTGTGCAGAGGGATTGAGCGGTGAATTTTAATATAATAATATTATCTAGCCTTCGCCATCATAATATCATGATATGATTATTAGGTGCGCAGTGGGGGAGGCCTCTGAAAATTCATACCTCCCGAGGTTTTCCACGTGGACCTAGGTTTACATACATGGGCCTAAATTATTCTCGCCGCCATCAAAAATGCGCCTGCTGTGACTAGGATTTTATCGAGCCCTTTTCAAGTCAGCAGTAGAGCCCGATAACCACTAAAACACTTTAATGGGTGGTGGTAATGGTGTGGTACTATTACTACAACTTCGACAATGACGTATGCTCAAGCAGCTGCATATATATAATATATATATATATATATATATATGAAGATCTAACAGACCGGTAATTGCCAAGGAACTGTACAGGGGACGTTATTAGAACCAATGGAATGTAAATAAGAAAGACAAGGGATAAGCGGAACTAACCAGCCGTGAGCAGGAATCGAAACTATCACCATCGAATAACGCGTTCGATGCTCCTCAACCACTGACGCTACCACCAGCGCCTTCCCTCCATCCACATTTTTTGGTTTCTATATGTGAATTTAGGAAGTAGGAGTGACAGTCAGCACGCTCTATGAGCCAAACTACGAGTGGTGAAACACTTTTATGTGCATGTTTGGCGTCACGTTCGCACGTGAACCTTATTATGAGCGGGCAGCTGATTAATTGTCCCTCTTATACAACCTACACACCACCAAGTATGCCAGTCCGAGACCCTCGTTCAATCACTAAGGAAGGAAGATTATACCTAAGGGCTCGCTATCCACTGTTTTTAAACACAATATAACGAGTTCTAACAGACAGTAATGCCAAGGAATGTACCGGGGGAGTTATTAGAACCAATAGAATGTAAATAAGAAAGAAAAGTGGATGAAAAAAGGTCGTAGGTTCGATTCCTGCTCACGGCTGGTTATTTTTTCATCCACTTTTCTTTCTTATTTACATTCCATTGGTTCTAATAACTTCCCCTGTACATTCCTTGGCATTACTGTCTGTTAGTTCTCATTATTATTGTGTTAAAACACGGGAAAACGAGCCCTCAGGTATACACTTCTTTCTCCTATATATATATATATATATATATATATACGATAGAGCATCTTTCGCTTCAGATATGCATTTGCATTGTACTCACTAACCATCGTAAATGTGCACCATTGAAATTTGGTTACAGGCTATCCGTTCATTTCTCAATGGTAAAAAAGCGCATTTACAGTTTTTTTCTGTTGAATAACCAAGTTATTATCAGACTAACTTGAAACGTGCACAGTATACCACAAGCAGACTCAGCAAAATATCTGTGAATAATTTACGATAACCGACTTCCTGCGTCATACACGTGCTCAATATATCAGCCACGACAGGAAGTACGGGACACGCTAGATGTCCATCGAAAGGCAATGTGACCAGTAGATCGGGGAAGTACCGTAGACGACCATAATTTAAGACATGGCTTGAAACATCAGCACAGCTGGTTGTCTGAGGGCAGTGGGTGTACTGCCTTTGTCCGCCTCGATAGGACTATCGCCATAAGATAGGACCCCACAAGACCATCGATTTCATCCGAATAGGTCTTGCTGTGGGTTGCCGGAGAAGTCCCCCAATCAGTTCTTTTATACACCTTCCCGCATTAGGTAACCAGGAGCTTTTGTTCTACTACGCACTGTGCACAGTTGGTCATGACTGAATGAGACGAGTCCGTTTCCCTCGATTTTCATTCCGGACGTTTTCGTTTTGGGAGCTGTACATTGCTTTTTGCCAGGTGTTTCGGCATTTCCTTAGGCATGACATTTGTCAAGCTTCAAAGATTGTAGTGTGAAATAGGTAGCAGGTAGTCAAGGGCTCAAGGTGTCCTCTTTGTCCTCAAACCGGGTTCCAGGCGCATCTTCACATCACAGCCCCTATTATTGTAAGAGAAACGCGTTGTATTTCTTCAGTAGCCTTCCGAGTCATCGCATGTGTATCCTGGTAGAGTTGGTGGCTCTCCTTGCAGCCATCAATTGTTATTCAAGTGGTAACTGTTGGCACTGTGGCTGTTTTAGTTTGTCGCAGTAGCGTTAGCCGCCTTGGTCGTAAGAGTCTCATCGTTAAATCCCCTTGTAGTCAGCCTTAGTAGTCTGCGGCTAGCTCGCTAACCGAGCTTGGCGTCGACTGTCCTCCTTCACGGCTGTCTCTGGGTTCACTGCTTGAGGAGCATCAGAACATGACGCTAACAGCTCCTACACAAGATGTCACGTGGCCGTGGCTTTGACAAAGGCAGAGTACGGCATGGACGAAACGAAACTTCGTTTGCCCAAATTGTAGCCAGGAAACAGAAACGCAAGCTACAGCAAGTAATTGGGCTGTACACTGATATCGGAGAACAAGGCGTCAACCATCTAGTATTTTAACCATGACTACGCGCGTCGGCATTTCTATGAGTGGCGTCGAAGATTCGTGCGTTATTGCTAATGGCCGACTTCGTTGCCGAACTCAGCCTTTCGCGTTTGCGCTTTCCAGCCAAATAGGTCATCTGAAAAGCATCTAGGATGCTCTCATACAATCCGGCCTGGATTACTGAAACCTATGTGCAAGGAGCATAACACATAAAATTGAGGGTGTAGCAATATAGATAAAAATGAGTGCACGCCAAAAGCGCTTTGGCTAACGTAAATAAAGGTCATTAAAACTACATACTTGCCTGTCCAAATTAAATTTTGTTCAAAACTTACGCATGTCCCAGTTCATGAGCGACCGTCGAAACAACCAACTTGAAGTCTCTGTTTCCCGAGATAACGACAACGTTCCTTCGTGAGCAAGCTGATTTTATAGCGGTGATACCTGTTTTTAAGAACAGCAAAAACCATTATTTTTTTATTTTCAATGCATTTGGATTATACAGATGCAGCCACTGCACTAAGCTTTAAGCACATGCCAACGAAGAAACTGCGCAAAATTTCTGAATACGGTTTCAACTAACAGCCTTAATTTTAATATATACTGAATGACTAGCTTATTAAGATTGCTCTTTATGCAAAGTAGCTTCGTCTTTCTAATTGATATCAGGAAGAGATGGCAGAATGGCGAAAAATCCACGGCAAACGGAGGCTCCGTGAAATTTTAAGCATCTGGTCTATTGTCATTCGGCAGCATGTGCGGAGGTAAAAAAGGTTTACAAGCACTAGGTCTGGGCCGTATCGCCATGCAAGTGTGTCGTGGTAGTATTTTTGAGATACGTTCAGTATCTCTATTTTTTGTCGACATACACCTGACAAAGGCATTCGAATACGTGTAGTGAAATAATTTTATGATGCATGTACTGTATGACATTACTGGTCTAAGAATGTGTATCCGGTTATATTTTCAGAAATGAGCTTAAAAATCTAACCTGTGAAAGGAAGACATTTTTCTTAAGACACACATAAAAAGAAAGTTCCTTATATATCTCCTTGCAAGCATGTGGAACCTTGTAACCGCAGTGCTATGAAAGGTGCGCACATAGCATTCGTCCATACATCTGCTAAAACTCGGATTGCCGAATAGATTGTGCTGAGGCACTCATTCTACTACGATGTGGGCTGTCATGTGAAGGAGACCACTCTTGCGTTCAAATGAAGTCACTCTTGGCGCGCTTCGTCTTTCACCGGCAGTCTGTGTCCTTCAACTATGAGCGAAAGAAGATAAGGGGGCCGAGTGGAGGGCTCGGAAAACGGCTGCAGCACGTGCTTGCCGTTTTTCTAAGATGATTGACTGGGCAATATTTACGGGAGGATTTTGGCTTTACCGATGTACCCCCGAAGCTTCGCCCACTCAACATAATTCTCTCCGTAGATACGCTGTGATTTTTTATATTTATTAATGCGCACAGTGGGCTTAGCAATATTGAGCTTCCCAAGCTACGTCGCACTACAGTTGTACGAGAAACCACGAATATATAGGTTTTTAAGTGAACACTTTGGAGGCATCACACATTTGTGGGAATCAGTTTCGTGCGAAGCGGTTGGTCGGTGAATCCAGGCTGCATTTTTGGGCTGCAAGCCAAACCTTCAGAGTTGTCGCGGGATTGAATCCCGGCTGCGGCGGCTGCATTACTGTTAGAGGCGGAAATGTTTTAGGCCCGTGAGCTCAGATTTGGGTGCACGTTAAGGAACCCCAGGTGGTCCAAATTTCTGAAGCTCTTCTCTACGGCGTCTCTCATGATCATATGGTGGTTTTGGCATGTTAAAACCCCACATATCAAGCAAGCCTTTTGAGGTGGATCACCGTACTTTTGTAAGGGTAGTAGTGTGTACACGCCTGGGCTTCGCCCGAATGTCCACTGAACATGCAAAAAGGGTTATCCACGGTCTGACATAACTTCAGCACTTACGCTAGATCCCAGGGGGTTAGTATCAGTCAAAATAAAAAGCACCTTATGGTGCGATTAAGTCAGTATTTTACAAAACTTTCCATCGGGGCATTCCTTCGGGTACAGCAACGCTTAAATGTAATTGCTCAGTCCTAGGAAGGCAAGGGTCTTTGTATTAGACGGCTGTAAAAGGGGAAAACAGGACATGTTGCGTCTTTCAGAAATGTGAATAATTTAATGATCCTAATTTTAAGGTACATAGTCCTTATTGAAACCACAATTGATGTTGCACAGCCTTGTTTGTGGATATGGTTCTTTTTGAAAGTGGTTTTAAAATTTAGCGTGGCTATAGGGTGGAAATTATGATTTTCAAGCACAATGATTGGAATACACTTGGGCTACGACTTGATTTTTATTCTTTACATTAGTCGAGCTAGCGCTGCCAATGCTGGTGTTTAAATGCGAAGTTCTGCGAATATCGTGACTTTGTGTTATCCCGGATAGTTCATTATTAGGATGTATGCATCTGTATGTATGCAAAATCGTGACATGCATGTGATAGACGACATGATTTGCCTTTTGTGGTGTGGGAACTTTTGTGGCCGTTTTTAACTTCTTATATACCAAAGTTTGTATGCCATCACAAGAATGTACGACGAGCCCAAGTTACAAGTCCTGGTGTTTATATCACCACATGCATGTCGTGTATGTTGTGATTTACATGACAGTCTTGGAGGGCTCACGGCTGTTCAAATTGATCGATATTCAGCGAAATGGACATTGTGGAACGTGACTGTTTTACAAATCGAAATAACACGTGGAAACAATAAATAAATAAATGACTGTAATGTATTTTGTGACTTCTAGGTCACGCACAAGTTGACCTCTACGTGACCGTTTCACTGCACTGATATTTTCAAAATTACTTTTGCTTGAATTGACTGCATGATGAATATGAATGACTGGTGATTACGTGAAAGTAATGACACTCATGTTAACTCATTTTATGTGCACCATGACCCCTGTGCCGATTCACGGTGAGCTGGCGGCCACCTCACTCGCTTGACAGCAAAAAAGTAGTAGTTCTCAATGTGTGTGTAGGACAAACATGTATGACATGTAGTAAATTGAAAATAAATGTCATGAATGTCACATGCGCTGCGATTTTCATGCCACACTCGTGATTAGCTCACTGCCGTTTGTTTAGGTTTATATATACGAGACTCAGCATTGAATGAGGCAACTGGACAAGAGAGATTTCATGGTTGGTGACATGAAAATAATGAAATGCGGGTCATGTATTCCATGACTATCATGCTACATTCATAGTGAGCTCCCGGCTGTTTTGCTGAGCTGCTACTCATCAAAATTATTATTGCATAATTTGACTGTGGAAATACTTAGGTACCAGGTTGTAACGTGAAAATATTGATATCAATGTCATGTATGCCTGACCTCCCCGCAGGGGCGCCTGCGCAAGTAGGCGTTTGGTGTGTAGCGACACCACGGACCCGAGCTAACGGGGGAGTTTCGGCTCCCTCCCACGCCTAGCCGTGCGTGGCTTTGCCGTGTCCGGGGAAAAGGGGATCCTGGGGGTTGAGCCAAAAGCTGGGTGATTGGACCTTTAAGGCCCCCCGGCAGAGGCAACACACCTCTTTGGCCCCGGCTTCACGTAGACGGCACCCCTGGGCTGACCCACCCAGGGGAAATCGGCAGTCGCCTTTTCCTATCTCTCTCTCCCTACATCTTCGTCTTTATCTCTTACTGTTCATCTGTCCTGTCTTCTACTTTCTTCTGTTTACTTCCAAACTTCCTGGCGGCAAGGGTTAACCCTGTGCAAATAGCCTACCTTGGCCTAGGCGCATTGGGTATAGTTGCGTTGTACGGCTGGCGTCTGCAGGTTTTAGCATCCACAAACTTGTAGCGTCCCCCTTGTTGGGCTCCGTGGTGGGTGGCCGCCAACGCTTCTGAAGAAAATTAAACTGGCATGCATAAAGCATTTCCCCTATTAAGTGATCGTGCCTCCTCAAAGCGGGTACGCACCGAAGATATCAATTTTTTCCTCCGGCCAAGACAAACCTTTCCTCATTTCCACGTTATACACTGCGAAAAAACTAACAAGCAAGCCAGAACTGTATCCCCCTTCGTAGTTTCTAGATGCTTAACCGAAACTCTCGGTGCCGGGTACAAGGTTACCAAAATGGCCAGTGGAGATCTACTCCTTGAAATACGTGACCAAAACCAATTCGATAAACTGAACACCCTCACAACGTTTGGAGACACACCCATCAGTGTTACGCCACACAGGTCCATGAACTCATCTCGCGGGGTCGTATCGGACGTAGATTTGCTTGAGCTGACGGAAGCTGAACTTCTGGAAGGATGGAAGAGCCAGAACGTGACAAACGTACAGCGTATTAAGATCAGAAGAGATCAAAAGGAAATCCCAACCAAACACTTAGTACTGACCTTTGCTTCGAGCGATTTGCCGGAAACTATTCAGACTGGGTACACAAAGACATCCGTGAGACCATATATTCCGAACCCCCGCCGTTGCTTCCAATGTCAAAGATATGGCCATGGCTCTAAGACCTGTCGTGGTCGCCAGACTTGTGCACAATGTGGAGTCCTAGGCCACGTGTCCGAGAACTGCAAAGAACCGGCACACTGTGTGAACTGCGAAGGAAACCATGCCGCATATTCACGCTCCTGCACATATTGGAAAAAAGAAAAAGAAATAATTACATTGAAGGTGAAGGAGAACATTACGTTTAAGGAAGCACGGCGAAGAGTCGCTCCATTCTATGGACCTACATACGCTGATGCGGCGCGTCAGGGGGCACCGCCGCACCAGCCCTCGCCACCCCTTCGGCCCGCGCAGAGCGAGCCGTCGGCTGTGGCACCTGCCCCCAAGGCGGCTGTAGCCAGGCTGCACCGCCTACTCTCAAACAGAGACCGGAGACTCCAGAGTCTTCGGGTCTCAAGGCCTCCCTCACCAGGCGAGGCCCAAAATCCAAACTAACAGCCCGCACGTGCGGGCATCCAGTGCCTCCGAGGAGGCAATGGATACGTCGGCACCCTTGGTGCCGAAAGAGCGGCGTGGCTCCTTGGAGCGCGCCAAGAAACAAAAAAGCAAATAACAGGGGCCTGGTGATGGCCCTGTTAAGTGAACTCAAACTCCCGCCTAAACAGCCACTCGCTTTTCGTACACACAGCATTATTTTACATTCACCATGAACACTCAAATTATACAATGGAACGTCAGGGGCCTTCTCATAAACCTTGACGACATCCAAGAAACTCCTACACGAACACTCACCAAAAGTGCTGTGTGTACAAGAAACACACCTTAATTCAAAACACACAAATTTTCTTCGCAAATACGTTATTTTTCGAAAGGACCGTGATGATGCCGTGACATCATCCGGAGGTGTTGCCATCATAGTGAATCAAGAAATTGCATGCACACACTTACAACTCCAAACATCCCTTG